TAATTCCGTGTTGAAGTATCATGACATATAGCCCACTCGATTTAATATTTTGATTAAGAATTTTGCTATTTATGCACAAGGGTTAAAACTTCAGTGTACATCCTCACGGGAGAACCCGCGTCCAATAGAAAATATATATATATATATATCATCCCCCAACAAGAGGGGTGGCTGTACACCCACTTAGCAAAACCCCTTACCCTTTGATTAAGGAGATAATTGATATTCAATTATTCTCGAACTTCAAGACCACCAACTTACTAAGAAAGATTTTGGCAGAAGCTCTCTCTCACACACACACACACACAGATTGTTTGGAAACATTTTTTTTGAGAAAAATTATTTTTCTTCAAGCTCAATATCAACCACATATACTATATAACTTATTCTATTTTTTAACCATACATTCTCCAAAAAATTCATTTTTAACTTGAAAAAATCCCTCCCAAACAAGTTCGTAGAAACTGCCACAAAAAGACAGAAAATCTTTGAATGCCATCAAAATGGACGATGATAATATAATTTGACTAGCCAATCAAATCGACACCACTAGGTGTCATCAATCAATAATCAATTAGCACTATAGTACTGGATTCAGATGTGGCATCAACTTGTAGCTTGGGACGAGTATGAACAATATTTCTATTATGATCTCAACTTGCAGATGATTAATTCTCCATCCTTGTTCCTCCATTAATGCGTCCAAGTAAATCTGTAATCTAAACTCATCCTAACTGCTGCACAAACCTAGCTCTCTCGCAGCCTTCGTCTTCGGATACGTCAAATTTTGTCGATATATCAGAGGGTACCTGATCAGCTCCATATATTACTTGTATAAGATCCTCCACTGTCCGAAATGTAAAACTTGCATTTGGAAGATGGAGGCCATGATAGTATTCCTCGTCATCAAATTTAATCTGTTTTAGCGTTGTTCTGTAACTCGTAGTGGCAGCCCTCGGTTGGCCTCTAGCTATACACACCTAGAGTACAAAGGAAAAATGTACTTTCAGTTGAACTATGTAGAGTTACTACTAATACAATTGAGAAAAATAATTTCAAGAGATGATATCATTTCAAGATACTCCTATTTTTAATAACTGTATAGAATTCCTACAGTTTCATGCGTTTGATTTTGTTTCTCACAGTTTGTAATTCTAGAGAATATTATTATCTCAAAGCGAACAGTTCACATTAGAAGATATAGAGACATCACAACAAGAGAAATTGTTGGCAAAAGAAATTAAAAACTTTGTTGTAGAATCCAAACATGTCATGTAAGATCAAGATCAATCTGATATAAAAATCTCAAGCTCGCACTGCATGCACAAGAGCTGGCATGAGATATTAGCATTCTTTTAGATATATAAATAGATAATATTTCTGAAAAAAGGTGCATCAAAGTTTGTAAGCGATTGCAAAACCACAATCCCAAGTAAATCATCCATAGATCACCTTCTTAATTTCTAATTTTTAGCAGACGTCCATAGACGTCTTAAATCATGTCCTTTTGCCAAAACACAAATGATATATAGCAATATATCATTATATCAGAGGGATGAGCCCGCGCTTAATTTAAGATATATTAAAAAGGAAGCAATAGGATAAGTGAAACTAACCGAATGATTTCGTCCCAGATCTAGAAGCCAAAATTTCCAATCTTTCAATTCCTTTCCAGCAACCTCGACAAATATATTGTTCCAGTTCATGTGATGAAATTCAACATCATCCAACTTGTAACCTACACCAGTACCCATTGCCTTGACAAAAGCTTCCTTAAGACACCAATATCTGCAGAGGTTGACCATGTTTGATGGTAAAATATATTTCTTAACTTTATTGCCTCAATTAACAAAAAATAAATAAACAAAGTGTTTAACAACCATGCATCCTTTGCATCTCATGGAATGAGAAAAATGTCCCATATTCACACCTACTAATAACTAACTGCGATGTGATTTCTTTTGTTTCATTTATCTATTTTGAGAATGCAATGGTTTTTTCAAAAATAGAATAGATTATCATTTAAAGAACCACAAGTCTAATTGGCATTACATATAGGCTCTCTCATATTCTCGAATATACACAAATAAGCCTTGTTTGATGCCTATTTTTGGAGAAAATGAGTTTTGGAATAGTGATTTTTTGAAGAATGTGTGGTTAACAAGTAAGGATAAGTTTTGGATTTATGTGAAAAATATTTTATTGTGAGAATGTGTGGTTGAAAATGAGTTTTAGAATATAGTAGACAGACATGGGCTCAGTATTGATAAAAGAAAGAAGAATGATTTGGCTCTGCCTCTCATATTATCAACGACCACTTTGATTCATTAACAGCATATTATTTTGATCACTATTTTAACGCCACTGTATTAAACAACAGAGAAAAACGTGTTAATGAGAAGAATTGCCACTACGTTTATGGTGCTTGGTTTGACAATGAAACAGAGCAACGAAATGTCTAAAATCAAAGATAACCGCACAGAAAAAAGTGCTTTATTTGGTTTAAATTATAAACTGATTATAATTTAAAAGTTAAAATCAAAGTCAAACTTTAATGTTAACCACATATTTCATAGGACCACAACTATTACCCACTTATCTAACACATATTTCTATCAATTTATAATTTCAGCAACTTATAATTTCTTCCAAACATATAATAAGTCAACGTCTCTTTGAATAGGTCTATTGTTTTTGTTGAACCATCTTAAAAGCATACACTATTAGATAGGAGAGATTTATTTATGTTTATATTTCAATATATGTGCAAGGAATCATTTTTAATCAAAGATCTGAATCATTGAGTTTTTTACAATTGGACAGCTGTGACACTTAAACCTTGCCTTTGTTTGCTCTAGTACTTTGTTGAATCACCTCATCAAAAGCTTAAGCAGTTAGAGAAGTTATAAATTTATTTATTCATACTTGTATCTTCAACAATTTTAATGTAACACTGAATGTGAAAATCTAATGAATGACTTTATAAATGTAAGTTCAAAGGTTAAAAACTTTAAAGTTGAAATCACAGAGCAAGACAATTACTTGGCACTGATGTTTCCGAAGACAGATACCATCGGGGAGTTGGTTACCTATTAAACGTTTTAGACTTTCTAACACTTGCAATAAATTGACTAATCCAAAAGTTCACAAAATGGAGAAAATTACATATTAGTAGTACTCAAAGAAAATATGGTGTCAAGGTATATGACAAAATCAAAAGAAAGAATCCTTGACATATTTTTGGAGACATATAAAATTAACACACCTGTAAAAGATATGCAGCATTTCATCAGAAGAGCCAGCATGCATAATGTGATTCCATTCTGAACTGGAGAAGTATGAAGAAAAGTTCTGAACGAACTCATAAGCTGTTTCATTCTTAGGAACAGAATGAGAAACAATATCCAACCCCACAAGGCATATAGGTTCAGATGCTATTGCAACATAATCACCATGATGTGATGCATTGAAGTTAAAATTTGGAAATGCTAACTTCATGTTATCACATACCTATATTAGGATGGTGTACAAGATATTATAAATATAATCGCAGAGAAAAAGCAAAATACATGCTTAGAAAATGAAATTCAATGTAAATAACAAGAATCCAGATTCCAATTCACTTAAAGATCAAGTATTATGATGGGAATTATTTCTAGAGAAATCACATTAAAAATAGCTTCTTTTTCTTTTTCCTTCTTTTTTCTTTTTTTCATAGAGAACATGATAAATCAAGAAAAAGACGAACAAAACTCTTTATACTGATTATACAGTTACTAAATAGGAAAGTGCGTGCCTATCAATCTTGATCTTCCTCTTAACCCTTATCATGTTACTTCACCTAAGTGGTAAATCAAAGATTATTAAATGAGTTCAAACTTTCTTAATCATTTTTGGTTCTGGATGAGTTGCGGTCTTTCCAAAACCGGTGGTATGGGAAAATTGTTAGCTTCGTAAATTTTCTATTATACTTACCCCCCTTTTCCTACATATCTACTTAAATTTGCTCCTTAACTTCAACACGATTTACATAATCAGTAAACGAAGCAGGCAAATCAACATTCTTGTTTTGGTAGTTTCACTGCCGTTACATTGAAAAAGCAGAAATAAGAAGAAGAAGAAGAAGAAGAAGAAAAACAAAGTAATTCAATAAAACTATAGACGTACCAAATAGGGTTTTCCTTCAGGAGTGCGCCTGATGATAATTTCATCAAAAGGGATTCCCAACACTTGATGCACCAGCGCATACTGCAACAACCTGCTCACAAGAGCCCGCTTTTGATCTTCCAATTCCACAAACCTAATCAATTATCAATCAATCCAAAATTATAAAATACCCATTATCGAATTCTTTCAGAAACTTGTTAATTGATCTGTTAACCGACAGTAATAAAGAAGATTGTAACATTAATACAAATAGAATGAAACAGAATAGCACGCAAAAAGTGACCTAGTGATGGAGGAGTACTCATGGTTAGGAAGAAAGGACATTGCGAAAGAGAAGCAATGGGGAGATGGATTCCAGTTAGAAATATCAACTATCCACCTCTGAACGCCATTTTCCAGTTCCATTTCCCTGCAACATCAGAGAAAAAAAATAAAATTACTGCAGGTATAATCGATCGAAACGAAACTTGGACTTGTTCTTGTTTCTGCCGACCGATGTTCTCCTAATTGATAACGCACTTGGCCACATCTCATCCACTCTAGATTTTAATTGAGCCAGTTCAATCTTGACATGGACTAGTTGGAATAAATTTTCGAAGTAAAAACTGAAGGAGTTTGCCACTTGGAGTTGGAGTCTTACAGTCTGCTGTTTGTTTTGAGTAAGCCCTTGTCTTTAGGATGTCTCATTTGATTTATTCCAAGTTCTGTTATTCACGTAGCTGAGTTAATGCTATCGTGAGCTGCATTTACGCTTTCAGTTAGGGTTGTAGTATGGCTATAAAGCCAGGTTCTTTGTACTTCAATAAATAAGTCATTCATTCCATTTTGTTAAGAGTCTTTGCATAGTTTCATTCAATTATTTCTAACAAGTGGTGTCAGAGTCCCACTGGGCTGAGAGAGAGAGGAAAGCCACAGTCTTTCGATTGACTTCAAGAACAGGCTTTGAAAGTGACCATGGATGAGAAAAATGGAGGAAAAGGGCATGTCAGAGGCAACTACAGAGGAAGAGGTCGAGGAAGAGGGCGTCAAGTGTTCAACAAAGCCACCGTCGAATGTTTGAGTTGTCACAGGCTCGGCCATTTTCAGAATGAATGTCCTACATGGGACAAGGAGGCCAATTATGCCAAGCTAGATGAGAATGAGGAGATGTTGTTAATGGCCTACGTTGAAGAGCATGAGGTCAAGCGTGAGGAGGTATGGTTTTTAGACTCGGGTTGCTCTAATCACATGTGTGGAGATTCAATGATGTTTAGTGAGTTAGATGAGAATTTCAGGCAGCAAGTCAAGCTCAGGAATAATACCAGAATGATAGTAAAAGGGAGAGGAAATGTCAGATTACATGTGAATGGTTTCAATCGCATCATCGCAGGAGTTTTCTACGTGCCAGATTTGAGAAATAACCTCCTGAGTATAGGGCAATTACAAGAAAAGGGGTTTGCAATTCTCATCCAGGCAGGAATGTGTAAGATGTATCACCCAGACAAAGGCTTGATTATTCAAACTGCTATGTCAGCAAATCGGATGTTCATGTTGCTTACTAATACACAAGGAAGGAAGGCAACCTGTTTTCACATGAGTGCACAAGATTTTTCTCATTTATGGCATCAAAGATACGGTCATTTAAGCCATAAAGGTCTAACAACCTTGCAAACCTAGAATATGGTACGTGGTCTACCCCACCTTGCTCCTACCACAATAGTGTGTACTGATTGCTTGAGAGGTAAGCAACACCGAGAGTCCATCCCTAAGAAAAGTGTATGGAGAGCAACTCAGAAGCTGCAACTCATACATGCAGACCTCTGTGGTTCAATAACTCCTACGTCAAATAGCAAGAAGAGGTATGTCCTATGCTTTATTGATGATTTCAGTAGAAAAGTTGGTTGAGAAAGAGACAGGCATGTATATTAAGTGCTTACGCACTAATAGAGGGGGTGAATTCAACTCAGACGAGTTCAATGAGTTTTGTAAACATTGTGGCATCAAAAGGCAGCTTACCAATGCTTACACTCCACAATAGAATGGGGTGGCCAAGAGAAAGAATCGGACAGTAATGAACTTGGTTCGTTCAATGCTCTCAGAAAAGAAGATTCCAAAAACTTTCTGGCCTGAGGTAGTGAATTGGACCATATATGTTTTAAACAGAAGTCCCTCTGTAGCTGTCAAAAATGTCACTCTTGAAGAAGCATGGTCCGGTGTGAAGCCTTCAGTGGAACATTTCCGAGTTTTTGGGTGTGTGGCACATGTTCATGTGCCAGATGCTAGGAGGACTAAGCTTGAAAACAAGAGTTTTGAATTTGTGCTTCTAGGAGTTAGTGAGGAATCAAAGGGCTACAGGTTGTATAATCCGGTATCAAAAAAGGTGGTGACTAGTAGAGATGTAGTCTTTGAGGAAGACAGAGAATGGGAGTGGGACGTGAGTTATGAAAAGCAGGTGTTGTTAGATCTTGAATGGGGTGATGATACAGATAACACAGAAGAAGAACATGAGGCAGAAACGGATGAAAATGATGAAGCATCTAATGAAAACAATGGAGAAGCTGAGGTTAGTGAAGAAGATCAAGAAACATGAGATGATATCTCTAGTCCTGCAAATGAAGAAGAGTCTAGTGCAAGAGAAAGAAGAGCCAGACAGGTTCCCATCTGGATGGAGGACTATGTTAGTGGTAAGGATCTATCCGAGGAAGAAAACGAGCTCAACATGACACGACGCTCGGCACGGTTGCGACGACCAGTTGTTGCTAAGAGAACTCCATATACGGGGGGAGGGCGAAGCGAACCAAGAAGTAGCTATTCTTAACTGGCCGGAGAGCACGACGATGGTTCTAAACTCGTTTTTGGGTGGTGACTGAATTGGTAGATGTTTTGTTGGGATGTTAACTGGCTAGATTTTGTATCATTGACATGGTTTTTGTTTACCTTTACATTTTACGTACTATTGGGATACCGTGGCGATGCTTTCACACATTCATCACATTTTGCGTTGTTGGTGTTGATGCCATGTCGATTTCAGGAAAATGCTAACAGTTTTAGGTACCAGTACAACATATGTTCAACTTATTTTCTAACTTTTATTACATGACTCTTCCGGGAAATTTAAAATTCCCGACGACATTATTGTTCTGCATATTTTCTATGAACTTTATTGTTCTTATGTGTTACATGTTTTCAGTGATTTCGCTTGACGTGTTCAGTGGTTATCCGTGTATGGTGTACGTGCACCATTGTAGTGTTCTCTTGAATGTTGTTTCATTAGTTCGAGGATGGTGTACATATGCCATTATAGTGGGAATTGTGTTCTGAGGCAATGATGTAAGGCAATTTTAAAATTGATGCCATAGCAACGAATTCCCAATATTGTGGAGATCATTTGGCATGTCAGATAGTTTGTATATTTCCATATTCTGTGGTTATAGTCCGTGAACAGGGTGGTTGCGATGTTGGTAAAATGGGAAAGAACAACCTAGACAAGCTCATCTCATTTTTTCGCAGTGCTAAACATCCGCGGATCCTAAGGTAACTTAGCTGTTCAGTTTATCTATGATGTGTAAAGAATGGATTATTGCCTGCGTGTGAGGATAGAATATCACAGACCTTTTCCTATTCTTGAAGCACGTCGAGAAAAATAATTGAATGTATGCAAGGTAGGTTGGCTAGTGAAGTTCCGAGTTCATAAAATAATTGATATAAAATATTCTTTATAGGAACATACCCATATCCTACAATATGTCATCTGGACTTTGCGTTGATTTTATGTATCATCTATCGGAGTAATTTCGGGAAGAAATGTGGACAAATAATTGTCTACCTTTAAGGGTGAGAGATATTTTATTCATAGACATATTTATATGCTCGTAATCTCTACAAATTATGAGAGACAACAACATTACAAATTCAGTATAAGTTTAGGATCACCTGCAATTCGAAGATATGATTATTCGTATTTGTAATGCATGAAAATGTTTGCAATCGAAAATTTTCAAACGCTTGGGATCACATGCAATTGAGTTATACGATTCTTCATGTTCTTAATTAATGAGACATTATTGCAATCGCTCAACCGTATAACCTTTGGCATATTTGTAATTTAAGGCATTTATTTGAACGTAGGTTGTAGAGATGGGAGCTCGTTCAGACGAAAACCCGTTAGCCGAACGTTGGTGCACGTACATGAGATGCAGCACACAGTGATAGCATGGAATTTTATATTTTTTTGGGGTGTAAATTTTTCGTTAGTTTAAATAGTCGATGTCTTAAATTTGTTCGAATTGGACGTGTAGTTACCTATATTTGAAATGTTTAAAGGGAGAAGTATTTGTGTTGCAATGAAGCTCTTTGGCTCGCATTAGGACGGCATATATCTGCTATAGTCGTAAATTATTGTTTCGATTATCACGTGCGAGTGCATTACTAATAGTCGTTAAATTTCAGAAGATGAGCCATTGAAAATGTCGAAACCATAACAACCACAAGCTTCGAGCTAGAAAATGACTTTATATTCATTTCATTATGTTTCATGCGTCATCGAACATGTACGTTGACATCATGAGCCACATGGGTGAGACCTGTACCCTTTTGAACATGGTACAATTTGCTGGAAAATTAGTTTGACAATATTTTAGTTGAAGGATATCCTCATTGCTTAATATTACACAAGATTTATGAGCCTTTAAGGTCCTGGTAATTATGGAAAAATGGGGATAAATGTACACTTAATTTATTGAACAATCACACCAATTACTTTTCAAATTGATAAGGAGATTGGACATGGTGGTTGGGAAGATGATGAATAGAATTGCTCCCCATTCTTCTTCCTTATAAATATAGGATGTGAGTTCATTGTATCCTAGAAACAACCTAGTTGAATACCATTCTTAGAATTAAAAGTCCTGACACACTATTCCTTTTATAAATACTTTACAATATCGACATAATGAGTTCGTCCACAGGAAGCACCGAACCGTTCAACGCCAACGAGCCAGTACCAGTTCCCGATTCATCTTCGTTATTTTCAATCTACATTTCGTCAAACGATGAGGAAGCTAACCCTCGTATTGGTAGAAGAGCCATTTCCCCTGTTCCATTTCCCAACTTGGAAGATGTAGCGGCAAAGGGTGTGCAATCACCCAACGCAGTGTTCGATGAGGGTTTCGAGGTCGACACTGAGGGAGGAAGTGACGACGATGAAGACAGGCTGGCGTACATCCCACATAATGAGTTAATTATCATCTCGTCGGATGAGTCGAGCGAAGACAGCGGGGGACAAGACTCAGTTGTGGAGGACAAATGAAGTGACACCCATCTTTCATAGTGAATAAGTGATGCGTAGTCCTGTATTTTGTACTTTTTCTATTCGGTGAATGCAATTGTAAAGGTCTGCATTATCATTCCCGTAGGATGCCACGGATGGTGTATTTTGGGTCCAACTGCACGACAAATGAAGTGTCGGGGTTCTGCAGCAGTATTTTATAAATGGGCCTATATTTTGTAGTAAGTGGACCCGATGTTATGAAATTGTGTTTATCGTGCACTCAATTGTGTAGAGTATTCACGATGTTGCGAATTATAACCTGTTTCGTGTGGATTGAAAAAATTCTTTTTGAGTGGATGAAAAATCGGAAGGTTTGTAGAGTGGGAGGGCAAATTCTATGGTTTGAAAGATATATTGTCTCATACGATTTTGCGTGCGCGTATTTAGAATAATGTGAGGTGACAATGGGTGTGCTCACACCATACATTGTGCGGATGTTAAAAACTGGGGCGTATCATGCCGTCAATCCAGTGAACTATTTAAAATGTTGCAATTTATAATTCACTTGGCCGGGACTGGAAAAATCGGTATTACGTGAAAAGTATTTTATTATGTGCACACCTTAGGTGTTGCTTACTACCATCAACTATGTAGCACGATTTTGGAGTTGGAAGGTGAGTTGTACGCTTTTAAATATGTTGTGTCCAGTAAGATTTCTGATTCATTTGATTGTAGGAATGAAATGTACAGTTTACCATGTACGTGAACCTGACATTGAATGCGGTGCATGTTTTTGTCAATTGTCGAGAATGAATGAGACATATGTCCAGACCGACGGCTTAACCATAACTATGAAAAACTTCTCAATTATTAGAACTTAGCCAATGTCAGTTCGTAGATGTACAGAGAATGGTAGATACATCAGAAACGTGGAATTATGATGTGACACATGGATATAATTGATAACAGAATTATAATAAATGCATTGATTAGGTACAAACGACATGGGTAAAAAGTAAACATACAACTTCAACCAGTCACAGAGAAGAGCCTATTTGAATGGGCCGTGGTACAATGGGGTTTGAACATGTGGTCCGATTATGACCGACTCTACCACAGTGAGTGCATTTCCTCAGTCGTGTGGTGGACTCTTGTCTGGATCGATGATGTCTTGTGGGTGGTCTACCTAGAGGACGATGTACACTCGGTGGCAGAATAGGAGTACCTGAGATTTCGTTCGGGACAATCCAGTCCACTTCACGCGTAAGAGGATAGATTGCTTCGCTGTAGGCACCCCTCCAGTAATCCGATGTGTAATACGGTGAGCATAAATCGTACAATGACTTACCTCGCAAGCAGGCAGCGCGACTTGCATGAATGCATGGCATATGATTAAGTTGAAACTCACGACAAATGCACGTGTTATCGGAGAAGTCCACGATATCCGTGTCATTGGATAGTCTAACTTGTGTCAAGTTCTCTGTCAGGCCTTGAGCTCGAAGCGTTGCACCTGCTTCGAACGTTGTCCGTAACTCGCTTTCCATCCTCGATGACAACAAGGCACTACATGCGGTTGCATTGGTTCGACGTTCGTAGAACCACTTCTGCATAGTTTGCCGAATGTGTTCGACCAAGCATGTGATCGGCAACGAACCTGCATGTCTCAACATTGAGTTCAAAGATTCTGTGTTGTTGTTTGTCAATATGCTGTAACGTTGCCCAAAGAATAGTGCTAGTGACCAAAATGAAAACCAGCTCGCTCCAAGTACCCGTACGCGCGTTCACTTACCCTATGGATCTGTCCCATAAGTCTTTCAAACTTTTCGACCCGAGAAGTTTTTGCAACTCGTTTGAATAGAAATATTGCACTTGCGTTGTTGTACCGCTGGATTAAGTTCTTCTCCAGATGCCAAATACAGTACCTATGCTGAGACAGAAAAAATATGTTAGCAATGGCATTAAAAATACTATTTTTCCTATCGGAAACAAAAACCAATTCAGCCGAGTCTCCTATAAACTCTTTCAAGTTCGACATAAACCACATCTACGATCTATTTCTTTCGGCATCGACGATCCTCCATGCTAGGGGATAAATTTGTTTGTTGGCATCTTGGCCGGTTCCCAGCAGAAGTGTACCCTTGTATGGACCTTTCAAGTGACTACCGTCAACACAAATAACGGGCCTCAAGTAGTGTATGTAACCACGAATGCTTGCACCGAAAGCCAAGAATAAGTAATGAAACCTGTTATGGGAATCAACTTCAATGTGGGTTACTGTCCCCGGGTTACTCTCTCCTAGGACGTAACAGTATGACGATAGTTTTTGAAAACTATCCCTCGGTGTACCGTGTAGAATATGTAAAGCAGCCACCTTGCCCCTATGTGCTTTTTTGGTAATTTATTTTCACACCAAACTTGTGTTCCATGTCACGTGCAATAGTGGTAGAATCATACGATCGGTATGGATTATTTAATTTTCCCAAAATATGCTCGGCAATTACAGAAGTAGTGGCATATCGATGTGCGTTACGACGAAAATCTACGGAACATGTGTGAATATTGTTGAATTTACGGATCATGAATATTGCAGACTGCTTCACACTCGAAGCCCGTAACATCCACTTGCAATTATACCACGATTAACATTTTGAGGCTTGACCTGCTGACCTTAAAAAGAAACTTGTCTTGCAAAGCAAGAACACGAATTTTGGAGTACAGCTCTTTCTTACTGAAGAATATATGCCGTTCAACAAGATCTGATGTACTTACACTTGTAATCCATTGGTATGTATCCAAACTCTAAGAATGTGATGACATTCTCTCGTCAACGTCGGCAATATTAGCACCATTTGTACCATCTAACGGCTCGTCCAACATCTCATCTAATGGCGTAGCCACAACGTATTCAATTGGATTATTGGCTACATTATTGTTTGGGGCTCTAGGCTCATGACGGACATCATCGTTAGCATGGGAAACATCCGCTGCTCCGAACGATGGGTCATGCAAATTTGTATCCCTCCCTATGTCAACACTCGACAAATCAGTTTCCAAAATAGTAATGCAGATGGCAGTTTTCGTATGAACAGATTTGTACCAAATTAGGTCTTCATCTTCACGTATTTCGGCCGGTGGTAAATTGAAGTTCGATACTCTGAACTTTAATTCAATTTTTGTGCGCAGATTAATAACACCAAGTTAGTCATTCAACAATAACAGAAGACCGGCTACGGTAATACTTCTCGGCACTAAAATGAAAGTGGTTTTGTCCCCTGTCTACTTCCATTCGTCATCCACGTGAATGAACTTTCCTCCATATGACACGATAAATCTGAAATGATTGTCCATACCTGAAATATTAGGATTAGAATGATAAGAATATAGATCCAATGAATGTGTCGATATGTATTAGCATGGAAGTGACACTTTCCAATATTTAAACTGATACAAAAACATGAGGTGAAATGAAGGGCGTCAATAGTTTTCAACTGTCGATGTCGACAGTTAAAATGTCTAATCCGACAATTATTAAATGTCAGGTTCGACAATTCAACTATCGGAACTGTCGACAAACTTCGGGTGTGTTTGGTACCTTGTTGAAAACATTAATGGTTATAATAAATTCTCAACTACAACAACTACATCATTACACTGTCTAGAAATAAATGACCGAATGCTTCATTAAGAGCATCATGAGTAATAAGAATTTTTAAACCATATAAACAATTCGTAAAAACTAACCTCTTAAAATGGCTGATGAATCTAATACTTATGTCTTCTTGATCAAGAAATGAAGAAGAAGGATGAAGTGAGGGTTTGTTGGAGAAGAGATTTGGTTGATGTTAAAATGAGATTTTCTACTTCTTTTATCTTTTCTTCTTTTCTTGTAAATTCGTTTTTACACATACAATATACATATATCCATAGATTATAATATATAAATTTAAATATCCATGATTATAATACATAAATTTAACTAATCAAATCATAGCATTAATTGGATTGGAAAGGTAGCATTAAATGCTCCTAAAAAAGGGAAATGAGGGGTAAGTTGGACATTTCTAATTGAAAAAGTGACATTTTTTATAAAATTTGGTGCCCGTGCAAATTTTTGGTGCATTTTCAAAATAAATGACATTTTTTATAATTCCCCTTCCACATATTAAAAATTGAAAAAAAAAAAGGGACCAAACGGGAGCTTAATTCCACAATTGCGCTGGATATGATGTTAAATAAACTGTTTCCATTTCATTTTTACACAAAATTATATATTTATTAGTTATATTTATAGATTATTATCTTCTATGAAGCTTTATTGCATAAAGAACAAATAATCTGCAACAGATACCAATAAAATTACATATTTATTCATAATAATTTTATAAGATGCAAAATTACCCCCAACTTAAAACGAATAAAAAATTGATTTTCAGCTTCAAAATTACATCTAATATAAAAATTATTTTAATTGATTGTTTTTTTTTATTCGTTTAGCAAAATTTAATTTATTAGAATATAGAAATTAAGAAATTTTATTTATTTTTACAATGTTGGAAGAGTCAATTGAAATATTTTCAAAATTTGTCAATATTTTATTAATTTACTACAACTATTTTTTATTGATTAGTTTAGAAAAAGAAGATTATAATTATACCCCAAAAAAAAAAACCTTTAAAGAAAAAATATTAATGAAAAACCAGTAACTAGAAGTATAGTATGCAAAATGTATAATATAATACGTAGGTTGAGATTTTTTATTTCAATCAAGAATACTTTTTTCTTTTTTTAGCTATTTATAATGACATATTTGCAAATTTTTTAGCAAATGATGTTTTTGTAACATTGTGCAAATTATAATACATATCATGCAAATTTATAAAATATAAAGTGTAATAAGAAAATTGGAGAATGTGAACGCAAGTTTTTAAACATGTAGTTGGTGTAAATAGTTTTCTTGATAAAAATTGACAATTCCAAAATTGACACAAATGGTATACATTTATTTATACATGTCTACATCTTAAATAATGCTAGGGGACTAAATTTTATTTTCTTACTATTTATCTAACATGTGAAAATATTAAAATTGCGAAGTATAAATCTTATAGAAGCCATGCACGGAGCCATTTTGGCTCAAGCACCACCTTCAAATAGTGATAAAATCTTTGGTTGCAGTGTTGTCTATTCTATCGTAACAAAACGTGTTAGGCTACAATTTCTCAATGAATACAAAAAATCCGAGTTATCTCAACACAATCATAAGCAGAGATATAATGAATGGTATATCAAGTAGCATTCTGTACTAAAGATAATTAACAGCAGGTGGATCTGTATCATTATCTGCCATCTTATATACATTGAAAATCTTCTACCTGGAGAAAAATTGTTACATTCATTTTGAGCACGAGAACGATTTAGTACATCAGTTTCGAAGACTCACTTCTAGAGAGAAGCATTGAACATCTGGTAGCCAATTCAATCGACCTGAACGAGGACCAGAACCTGAATCTTCAAGCTCAATTTAGAGAAAGACTGCATCATACTCTAGAGGTTAAGAAATTGAAACATTTGACAACGCCGAAGGGTTGGTTCTTAATTTCTGAGTTACTCAAACCATTACAAACTCGGAACCATGGCATATATGTTTGGAATGGATTCCATTTTGAGGAGTTGAAAAAACACCATCTCTTCTATACATTCTGCCCTTTCTCAACCAAGCACAGGAAAGGTTCTGTTCAAACGCTTGAAGGAGTGTTGAGAAATAACATTTTTCTTACACAGAGAATTTGCGAGCTCCATGGCCTCTACTTTCCATCCTGCAAAACCAATACCTTCGAGTAGTAGAACATACGAAGTTTCATTTGGCCGGCAACCCTTTTCGACCATTTTTGCCAGCATTCCAATTCCGTCGTCAATTCTATGAGCTTTGCATAATCCCAGAAGCACAATGTTGTAAGTTACTGCTGTAGGGAAAAAATCACTATTCTCCACATCCCTTAACAATTCAATAGCCTCATCCACCATCCCATCTCTGCACAAACATGATATAAGTGAATTATAAGTGATTTCATCAGGGTCAATCCTCATATCAATCATTTCTGAAACTAGTCCCAAGGCACGAGTCCTATCTCCGTTGCTCCACAATGCGCTTATGATTGTGTTATATGTACTCACATCCGGAGAGCACCCTGTTTCAGAGAGTTTCTGAAAGACCTCCAAAGCCTCGTTAGCTTTTCCATTTTTACACAACGCAGATAGGATGGTGTTGTAGTTTACTATATCGGGAAGACAACCACTGGTAATCATATAATCGAGTAAAGCAATTGCCAAATCTAATCTTCCCTCTTTGCATAATGCAGAAATCAAAGGATCAAATGTGTAAGTATCAGGAGACAATCCCTCATCCTTCATAATCTTCAACAGGTTAATTGCCTCGTCTAATTGTCCATCTCGACATAAAGCACTCATCAGAATGCTGAAAGTAACCACATTAGGCTCGCACTCTCTTGAAAACATTTCTGTCATCAGCTTCTCCCCTTCATTCCATTGTCCCCGATTTAACAACGCCCTCAACAAAATATTGTACGATATCACGTCTGGCTTGCAACCTCTATTCGGCAAGCTCCTTACAAACTCAAAGGCTTTATCCATCAACCCTTCTCTGCACATGCCCCTAATTACCGCGTTATAGGTATACATATCAGGTTGTAGCCCTCTAGACAACATTTCATCAAACAGCTTCATTGCTTCACCAATTCCACCTTCAAGAATCGTTGCCTCTATCAAAATCGTGTATGTAACCACGGTAGGCTGACAATTATCTTCCAATAACTGATCAAACATCTTCAATGCTAAACTAAGCTTCCTCCTATTGCTAAGACTTCCTATCAAGATATTATAAGTAACGACATCTGGCGCAAATCCCCGAGCTCTCATGCTACTCAACACCTCATTTGCTGATTCAATTCGATTCACTTTACATAAACCACTAATTAAAGCATTATATGCATACACATCAGGTTCACCATACCGCTCAAGAATTCTCATGACCTTAACTGCTTTGTCCACACTTTTCGAATTGAAAAACCCTTTCATCAGCTTTGTACAAAGAACTACCTCTGGTTTATAACGCATATTCACCATGCACTCAAGAAAGTAAAGGGCTTCATCATAATTTCCTGCTTTGCAGGATCTCTTAAGTAGTTTCAAAAAATGGGCTTCTTTAAAATCATTAAAATCCGGCAAATGATTTGGCCTAGTTTCAGTTGAAACTTTTACAATTTGTGGGCTTCTGTACTTGTTCTTAATGGGATGATTATGGTGTCTGCATCTCACAACAGAGTTGTGGTGAGATTTTCTTCCGAATTTTCTTTGGACACCAAATACAAGACATTCAGGAAAGAATTCAGAAGTAAAACTTGCAGTCATTGGTAACCGATTCATTTAGTGCATATTTGGTATGCAATAACAGACTGGACTGTATACCATAAGACAATCCACGTTAGTTCATATGGAACATCATATGAAGTTGAATCTTAGAGATTAAAAGAAAAGTACCTGTAATTCTTGGATGATGGGAGTGGAAAATTGAAGAACTTTTTTGAGTTGTTTTTTCGCCCGCCATTACATTCAGATTTCGTTTGGATATGATGGTCCGATGAATTTTCTTTTTCAGATAAGAGCCACACAAGGCAACACATGGCAAGTAGTTCAGCGAATGGGATCCGGGTCGGGCCAGCGTTTGTGGATCTCATTAATGAAATATTGGGGAAATTAAGCTCACTGCCTTAAAAAAATTATATTTTACCCAATAAAACTGTAATTGCCGTATTAGTTACATGCCCAAACTCAAAAAAAAAAAAAAAAAAAAAAAAAAAAAAAAAAAAAGGAGATAAAAATCTAAAAAAGGAAGCCCCTGAATCAGAAAATTCGAGAAACCTTCGTTCCTGATATCGAATTCGACTCCAATATTCTTGTAGGGAGAAAACATCTGCAAGATTTTTGGGGAAGAAGGTGTTAGGTATTTTTCATCATTTTGCATGTATTTATTTCTGTTTTGCGAATGATTTGCTGCCCCAACTAGTGTTTGTCGCTGCGCAATGCCCCCGAAAGAGAATTTTATTTCAGAAGTCTTTGAATAGGTGCATTTGTTCGTTTTTTAACAGTCACCTCCAGTAGATGTATGCAAGGATTTCAAGGGACACACCTATTTAAACGGTTGCTTCAATTTCTATAAATTTTGGGTGAATTCTCGTTTGCAATACACATTAAACAATTTATTCTTCTTTCTTTCTCTTGGCATCAATCAGTTATTTTCGAGTGTCTTCTTGGTTTGATCAAATAGTCACAATTTGAATCAAACGTCTCCATTGTATCCTGGGAGAGATTTTATATCATACCCCAATTGTTATTTTGTTGGATAGGAGAGAAACATCTCTTAAAAGATAACGTTTCTTTGTGCCTTGGAGTTCATTAAAGTATTTAGATTTCCCTACATCTTTCTCAACAATTTTAAGAGATGTCTTCGTTTCAAGATCTGACAGTAAATGAATCTATGGCACCCTCAATTGAAGTCGTGAATCAAGATTTGATTCGTCTTGATTGGTTTGATGGATATAACTACACGCGTTGGCAGGAGAAGGTTTTATTCTTCTTGTTAGCAATCAAACTGTCCTACATTCTGAGTGATGATCTCGAGCCTATTCCAGAAGAAAAAGCAGATAATTTAGATGAACGCAAGAAGGAATTACAGGAACAGCAGAAGAAATGGAAGGATGATGATTTTCTGTGCAGAGGCCATATTCTGAATGCACTATCAGATTCTGTTTATAGCGCACACAGGACTATTGGAACAGCAAAAGAATTGTGGCTGGCATTGGACAACAAGTATCGTATAGAAGAAGCAAGCAACCAGAAATTCTTGATCGGTAATTACTTTGATTTTAAGATGATGGACAATAAGTCTGTTCTTGCCCAGGTACATGAATTACAACTTATTTTTAGTAATCTTAAGAATGCTGAAATTGTCTTGCCTGATGCATTTCAAGTTGAAGCCATTATTGCAAAATTACCAAGTTCATGGAATGGCTATAAAAAGAAACTCAAACGTGATGAAACCAAGCATACCTTGGAATCCCTCACGCGTCATTTGCGTATTGAGGAAGACTCTCGTAAACGAGAGAATAATGATCAAACGGCAGAAAAGGCAAACATGGTTCAAGGAAATCATAAGGGTAACAAGAAGCGTAAAAACTCCAGTTCTAAGGAAGATTATGCAAAAACTTCTAAGAAAAAATTCAAGGGGGATTGTTTCTACTGCAAGAAATCTGGTCATATTGCTCGTGAATGCCGACATCGAATAAAAGACGAGAAGGCAAAGAATGAAAAAATAAAGAAGGATTAAGTAAATATGACTGATGGAAATCATGACCCAAACCTTGTTGCCGTGGTGGAAAAATCCAACTCAGTCGGAGTTGAAGTAGGATGGTGGCTGGATACCGGAGCTACAATTCATGTAAGTAATGATAGATCTCGGTTCAAAACTTACAAAGAATGCACCGATGGAAGAGAAGTAAAAATGGGTAACAATGTTTGTACCGAAGTTGTTGGAATTTGATTAGTTGAACTGAAATTCACTTCAGGAAAGAATCTAACTTTGGCGGAAGTTCTCCATGTGCCTAAAATTACCAAGAACCTGATTTCTGGGGATCGCCTTAACAAGGCAGGTTTTAAGCTTGTAATTGAGTCTGATAGCCTTATAGTATCTAAGAATAATGTATTTGTCGAAAAAGGTTACTCCTGTAATGGTATGTTCAAAATGAATCTAATAAATGATAACTTTGCTTATACTGTTGATTTTTTACCTTTTATGGCATGCTAGATTAGGCCACATTAATTATAAATCCATTAAGAACATGCATAATTTAGGAATTATTCCTAAATGTAAGTTTGATGATGTTAACAAATGTGAAATATGTGTTCAAAGTAAAATAACGTGTAAACCACATAAATCTGTTATGCGAACATCTAAATTACTTGGTCTTATACATTCTGATGTGGTTGATCTGCATAGTAAAATTTCACATGGAGGGAACAAGTACTTTGTGACCTTTATAGATGATTTTTCGAAATATGCTTATGTATGCTCACTAAAAAGTAAAGATGAAGTTTTAAGCAAATTTCTTATTTATAAAGCAGTAGTGGAAAATCAATTAAATCGAAAAATTAAAGTCCTACATTCTGATAAAGGAGGTGAATATTAAGTAGCAGAATTAGCAAAATTCTGTGAAACTAATGGTATAGTTCACGAGTTTACTCCACCATATTCGTCAGAATCAAACGGAGTAGCAAAAAGGAAAAACAGGACTTTAGTTGAAATGGTGAATTGCATGCTCATTACTTCTGGTTTACCTGATCAATGGTGGGGTGAAGCAATCTTAAGTGCATGTTATACTCTAAATAGGATTCCTATGAAGAAGATTAACAAAACTCCATATGAGTTGTGGTTCAATCGGAAACCTAATATTAGTCGTCTCAAGGTGTGGGGATGTCTCGCATATGTGAGAAAACCAAATCTAGAGATCACTAAATTAGGAAGTAAAACTTATAAATGTGCATTCATAGGTTATGCAAAAAACAGTACTGCTTATAGGTTTCTGAAGTTAGAATCCTATGATGTTATCGAATCAATTGATGCTGAATTTTTTGAAAATATATACAAGTCTTCAACTACACAAACTGAAAATAATACTACTTCTAGTTCTTCTAAGAGAATTCATGAAGTATCTCTTGATGATACTTCTGTTGAACCACAATCGGAAATAAAACCTAGAAGGAGTAAGAGACAAAGGAAAGAGAAATCTTTCGGATCTAAATTTGTGACTTATTTGCTAGAAGGTAATATAAATAATATTACACATCAGACTAAGCTAATGCTCAATGATGATAGTGATCCTGTCACATATTCAGAAGCTATTTCCTCTCGAGATGCTGTACTTTGAAAAGAAGCAATCAATGATGAAATGAGATCCATTATGTCAAATCAAACATGGAAACTGGTTGATTTACCTCGTGGTTCTAAACCAATAGGTTGTAAATGGATTTTCAAGGGGAAATTAAATGCAGATGGCTCTAGAAATAAGTATAAAGCTCGATTAGTAGCTAAAGGTTTTAAACAACGTCATGGCATAGATTATTTTAATACTTACGCTCCCGTAGCAAGGATATCTTCCATCTGTGTGTTGCTATCTCTTGCTTCAACTCACAATTTAGTTGTCCATCAAATGGATGTAAAAACGACTTTTCTAAATGGTGATTTGGAGGAAGAAGTATATATAGAGCAACTCGAGGGTTTTGTTTTACCTGGACAAGAAAAGAGGATTTGTAAACTAGTCAAGTCTCTTTATGGTTTAAAACAAGCCCCTATGCAATGACATAAAAAGTTTAATAAAATAATGTTGTCTAACGGTTTCAAGGTTAATGAAGCAGATAAATGTATCTATTCTACATGTAGAAATGGTACATGTACTATTATTTGCTTGTATGTAGATGACATGCTTTTTTTTTGTCCTAACTTAGAAAGTGTTAAGGAGACCAAACAATTGCTAGAGTCTAACTTCAACATGAAGGATTTAGGCGAAGAAAATGTGATCTTAGGGATTAAAATAATAAGAAAAGATAGATGCATATTGCTGAATCAATCTCATTATATTGAAAATATCCTTAAAAGATATGGTCATATGGGTCATAAACCCGCATCAACTCCGATAGATCCTAGCGTTAAGTTAATGAAATATACTGGAAGATCTTATGACCAACTACAATATGCAAGTGTGATTGAAAGTCTTATGTATGCTATGCACTGCAAAAGACTAGATATTGCATATGCAGTTGGCATATTGTGTCAATTCACTAGTAATCCAGGAAAAGAACATTGGAATGCGGTTTCAAGAATCCTAAGATACTTGAAAGGAACTATTGATTATGGATTACATTATCATGGATTTTTCGCTGTACTTGAAGGATACAGCGATGCAAGTTGGAACAACATAGAATCGAATTCGAAATCCACAACAAGTTGGATTTTTACTTTAGGAGGTGCAACTATTTCTTGGTGTTCTAAGAAACAAATATGCGTCTCAGATTCCACTATGTTGGGAGAATTTATTGCTTTGGCTGAGCAAGTAAAGAAGCTGAATGGCTAAGAAATTTGTTAATAGATATCCCATTGTAGGAGAAACCATCTCCAGCTGTGATGATCTATTGTGATAGTAAAGCTACTTTGTATTCGATAGCAAACAAGACTTACAATATTAAGCAACGACATCTCAGTATTAGACATCAGTCTCTTCGAGGATTACTTAAGCAAGGAGTAATCACCGTTGAATATGTAGAGTCGAAGAATAACCTAGCAGATCATTTGACAAAAGGATTGGCTAGAGAGATGATTGCGAAAACATCGAAAGGAATGGGATTGAGGTCTATGTAACTTCAGTTAGCTTTAATGGGAACCCTACTTATGTTTTGAAATATAAACAAAGTTCAAAGGGTACAAACAAGTTAAAGTCTAATTTAGACGAGACACTAGAGTATTAGTTCAAACCCATTCATAAAATCTCTAGTGTATATATATTCTGCATGGTTGAGGATGGATTTAATTCCTTAATAAGTCCTATTGAGAGAGGAAGTAACTCGCAGAATTACTTTATAAAGAACTTACCTATGTGAGTGAGAAAGTCAGGTCGTTTTCTATGAGATTTAAACCGTCTCTAAAGCACTCATGAAATTCGGGATATACGCAAGGCCCTTAATGCGTTGGTATAAAAGATACACTCCTTTTTATCGGAATAGTACATGTAATGACTCCGGTTAGTCATGATAGGGTCCTTGGTTCAAGATTCGTTCACCATAGCACCTTGACAAAACTTTGAGTTGTTTACACTAAGTGAAAGTTCAAAGTCAAAAGCTACTTTCATTTATGTACGATTTCCTACGATGATGCCTTTTGTGTGTGTTTGCATGAACTACGGTGGCTTGATCCCGTTAAGGATACGTAGGTAATCAATTTTTGTGATGCATCCGCTTCATCTTTTCTAAATCAAAATTTTGAAAAATAGGGGGGATATGTTATATATTTTTCATCATTTTGCATGTATTTATTTCTGTTTTGCGAATGATTTGCCGCCCCAACTAGTGTTTGCCGCTGCACAACGCCCCCGAAAGAGAATTTTATTTCAGAAGTCTTTGAATAGGTGCATCTGTTCGTTTTTTAACAGTCACCTCCAGTAGATGTATGCAAGGATTTCAAGGGACACACCTATTCAAACGGTTACCTCAATTTCTATAAATTCTGGGTGAATTCTCGTTTGCAAAACACATTAAACAATTTATTCTTCTTTCTTTCTCTTGGCATCAATCAGTTATTTTCGAGTGTCTTCTTGGTTTGATCAAATAGTCACAATTTGAATCAAACGTCTCCATTGTATCCTGAAAGAGATTTTTTATCATATCCCAATTGTAACTTTGTTGGATAGGGGAGAAACATCTCTTAAAAGATAACGTTTCTTCTTGTCTTAGAGTTCATTAAAGTATTCAGATTTCCCTACATTTTTCTCAACAGAAGGTGGAATCTTATATTATCAAATATTTTGCTTCCTATTGTATATGATCCTGTTTTGTCAATTTCCAAGCGAGTGACGACAAGAAAATGGGCAGCACTTCCTACAGTTTTGGCTGGATTTTTGGTGTCGAGTTTGTTGCATGAACTGATTTTCTATAACAATGGAAGATTGAAACCAACTGAAAAGGTATTAAGGTAATGTACTTCTTCCTGCTTCATGGAGTGTCATTGGCTATGAAAATTGGCATAAAGAATCTGTGGAAGGGCAGATTTACCCTACGTAGGATTGTATCAGGGTCGTTGATGCTGACATTTGTGATGACAACTAGTTTCTGATTATTTTTTTCACCATTCCCGAGTAAGGATGGCAAAAAAACCCGTCCCGTATGGGTTGGTAGGACGGGGGGCGGGGCATCACCCGTCCCGTGAAGGGGAAAAAAAAGATCAAAAATAATTTTATTTCTAAATAATTCACCCGTTAAAAACCAATTTTGAATTTGTATTTTATAACTTTGAAAATGTAAAAACAAATAAATAAATAAACGGGGCAAAAAGTTGCCCCATCTCCGTCCCGCCTCATTTAAGGCGAAGTGGTGGGGTTTGGGGAAAACGAGGCCCCGAACTCGCCCAGTTGCCATCATTGTTACCAATGGGCAAGGCAAGCTTTAAAGAGCGTGCTGAATTAATTGTTTTTCATCGAATACGTAAAGAATCATAAAATAGTTAGCCTCAATAATGTTACTTGTCCATTCTTCACTTTTTGGAGTGTCTGTCATTTTTTCGATTGTTTGTTATTTTTTTGAGATTTTGTCACTTTTTTTAAAATTTTTTTTATTTTCGTCACTTTTTTAATATTAAAAAGTGACATGCATTTTTTTTTAATTAAAAACAATGTCACTTTTTGCGGGTTAATAGTTTAATTTTAATCAGAAAATAAATAAACCATCCTTATAAGAGCAATACAAGGATTTCATTGACCAGCAAACAGCAAGACAAGGAAACTTAACACTTAAAATAAAATAAAATAATGTAGTCAATTCTCTTCAAAAAAGCCAATATAAAATATGAACAAAAACATCTTCAGGAAAAATTAATCAACAGAAATAAAATGAAACACTTAAAATAAAATAATAATAATAGTAGTAGTACTACTAGTAATAATAATAATAATAAAAGAGTCATTCGCTTCAGAAAAGCCAATATAAAATATGACCAAAAACATCTTCTAGAAAAATTAATCAACAGAAATAAAATGAGGAAATTTCTTATTTCATTCATCTACATCATGAATGTAGTGAAGCCAATTCACCAACAAAATATACATAACCAGAGCAAATAGGAACATCTGACATACACTTGGTTACAATAACACCAAATTAAAACTCCCAAAATACATCCTTAACTGTTTTTCTTGCATTTTCAGATACTGGAATCCTTATAAATTAGAAATGTAAATCAAGTATCCAAGCCAAGATGACTTATGTTCCTGATTCACCACTGCGCTTAGCTGCATTCGAGTTGCTCACTGTCATAAAAGATTCTCCGCAGCCACACTGCCCTTTAGAATTTGGGTTGATGAATATGAACTCTGACCTGCTCACAGGGACAGATATTAGATTCAATGAGATTGGGTAATGAGAATGCCAGAAAATCAGTTTCGATTTTAACGATCTTGTATAATAATTCATTACCTTGCAAAACATGGAACTTAAAAAAACTGAGCACTATATATTTGCTAGAATTTGCAAATGGGGCAAAATACAAAATGTAGGAGATTTCAATAGTTTTGAGAAAGGGACATGATAGTTTATGTCCGAGCATATACATCAAAGCATTAATTGATATTAATGGGAAGAGAGAAGAAAATAGAAGATAGGAAAGAAAATCAAGAGAACTGAAGAAAGGAAGTCGAAAGGCGCCCTCTCACTCAAATTTAATACTAAGAATATGAAAAGCTAAGGAAAAAATCAAGTCTCACTTTCTCACTTTATTTTCTTCTCGTCATCTGGAAATTGAAAAGGGAGGTAAAATTACCAAGTAAATGGTACGCCCTTGAAAAGAATAGATAAAAAACAATTTATTTCACCTTCACTTGTACATGCACATATCTATAAAGAGCATGGTTAATCAAATTCATCTGCAATGAGAATTGGAAAAATATACCATACCTCAGTTTGTCGTCAACAAAATCCATCTTGGTTCCAACGACATGCATGAGGGCCTTCGGATCAATCAATATCTTCACACCTTTGTCTTCAACCAACTCATCAAATTTGCTTTTCTCATCTGTAAGTTGAAGAAATATGAAAACTAGAATTAGAACACTATACCACATCGAAATTGAAAATATCAATGTGAAATAAGAGATTGAGGGGAAATTCAAATATATAAATACATCAATAACCACAAGAACAACAATTAACCATCACAGGCTTCTGAAATTAAGTCAGCAAATATACTTGTTTTCACTCATGCCCAATCTTCGAGTGACTCCATTCTGTAAGAGTCGAAGTTTTTGTTCTATAATAGAGTCAAAATCACTTCCCAGCCAAGTCCCACTAAATGTGGTTGGGGCCTTTCCATGTGCAACTTAGCTCGAAGGCAAAGAAGGCATCTCTTACTAACGCCACCCCCTCAGATGTGGGAGGGGTTAAAGTCGCCAGTGAGATGCCACTTTCGGTACTTCAAAATTTCGCAACAAGACTCTTTCTCCATCTTTCTCATAGTCCTAACTTAAAGCAACTCCATATCAGTATCCCGTTGGTGGAGAGGCAATGCAGGTGCGAAAAAAAAAAAAAAGAGAGAGAAAGAGTAAAGTTATGCGTGCAAAAAGTATTAATTTTGGTTCATGTATCATTGGCAGGATTGGATAACAATGGACAATATTAATGAAGAAAATGAAACAAAGCTAAAATCTTCATTTTTATAGTGTATCTAGAATTGTATACCTAACATGCACTTCAAGCTTTTTACATCTTCATTTCCTTTCCATATAATTTTTGTGTCGAATTTATGGCATAACTTCTATCAATCAATCAAAACTTCACCAGTGTATTTTCTCATGTCTAATTGTCTATTAGTAAAAGTTTACCAATTTAAAAGTTACTTTAGGATCACAAATCATGAAGTGGTTTTCTCCCATCGAATTAGCATTATAACACCTTGAATTAATAGACCACTTAAAATAATTATTTTCAAGTTATAATTAAAAATAAAATAAAATAGCCAGCTTCCCCTCCTTTGAAAACAAAAAGACAAAAAATGAAGAACAATAAAATCAGACTTCATTATCACCAAATTTAATTTTACAAATGATGGAAGTGAGTCAGAAGATTGATCATGATCATGATCTGTAAACATCGTCTAATGATCAAGACTAAACCATAACCTAAGCAACCACAAAACCAACACGCGTCTGCATTGTATAACTCAGATATTGAAAGCAATACTGTCCAAAAATCAAAAGAATGATAGATATTATCTTTACTTGGTCATTTCCAATTTACATTTAATTTTACCTAAAGAAACTTCTCAATCATCAATGGCGGCTGTCAACATTTAGATTGGCATAGCATCAGCACACGTTAAAACAGTAATCTCACTTTGAAACAGGTCATCTTATTCATATTGCTACCTCAATATGGACATAACAAATGAATTGCGATCATATTCATATTTATGCCTTTTGTACCACGGTCCTCAGTTTTTACTGTTTAGAGGGAAAGTTTTAGACAACATGTCAACAACACATCTCTACAAGTACCAAAATTATTTATATTACTTCCATCAGCATCTTAATCCTGAACACTTGTCACAACAAAAAATGGTGCATCTTTCAAGATATAAACACAGCATTCAAATAAGACCTGCCAAGTAATGTGGCTCGTTACTGTGAGGGAATCCCTATACTGAGACCAACAACCACGAACATACACATAGAATTACTATTACTGAATAATCGCTACAAACATATTTTCAATCCCATAATAATAGTAGTCGACCAACATGGCTCACCTTATCATTTAGTCATTACTTCACTATTGGAGTATCAAACTGGAATGACCATTAAATCAACGTTTTTGTATAGATAAGAAAAACTCTATAATTTTTCATAAAGCAGAGTATGCTTCACTTTCAATAACTAAAAGATAGATCTTGGTGTAAAACCAAGCAGAAAGTGATAACTAGAGGAAGGTGAGGTGACGTCAAATCATCATGCCATTATCCCTGGTCAATACACGTACAACGACGGTGGGGACAGCGGGTTGCACTTGCGATCCTGCAAGGGTATGCTAACCCCAAAAACCTGTCCTCAATAATGACTTGGCGATTGTAGAGTTATGACAAACCCAATATAATCTTTGCAAAAAAATCACTCTGGACTGCCGTCTTTACTTATAATTGTTGGAGGAAACATTTCATCCAACAAGAGATTTGATGACGACTACTCGTACAAAAAAATAAAAATAAAAATAAAAATAAAAAAATTGCTACAAAACTTCACTTCTTCGTAAGAATAGAGATTTCTAATTGAGATTAGTTAGGAAATGCTCTCTAGCTAGCCTCCTCAGAAGAAACTAGATGAAAAAAAGATCAGGTTAAGAAAATCAAGATTGTGTATGCATATCAACGAACTTTTTTTCCTGCGTGAATTGAAAAATGAAATTGAGATAGTCAATTACATCTTCATATTCCACGCCATCGATGGAGTCATAGCGTTCTTGTCTATTCACAAAATTAGCAAGAAATCCCCAATTCTACTCAGATAAAGACAATCCAATTTTCACCCACAAATCAATTCGAAAAGCTCAAAAGGCTTCTCAACATATATACACCATAAAAAGTAAAATAGTCAATCGAAAAAAAAAAAAAAAAAAAAAAAAAAAAAAAAAAAGAAAAAAAAAAAAAAAAAGAAAAAAAAAAAAAAAAAGAAAAAAAAAAAAAAAAAGAAAAAAAAAAAAAAAAAGAAAAAAAAAAAAAAAAAGAAAAAAAAAAAAAAAAAGAAAAAAAAAAAAAAAAAGAAAAAAAAAAAAAAAAAGAAAAAAAAAAAAAAAAAAAAAAAAAAAAAAAAAAAAAAAAAGATAAAACAGAAGATGGCGGCTGAAAAACTTACCGGCATAATTGAGAGTGTAGGATAAGCCGTTGCAGCCACGAGCCTTGACACCAAGCTTGAGGAAATCACGTTGGCGCTGCTCTAAAAGGTGGCGTATTCTGACCGCCGCGATTTCCGTTAGAGATAGAACTTGCTTTCTCATGGCCCGATATTCCTTCACAAGTTCACCGAATCCTGAGAATTGCAAAAGCCAGACAGTTCTTTATTTTCGTCCCCGACAGAATGGAAAAATGTCTCCTGATTACTGCTCCAACAAAAACCTCGTCGATCCTTTTGTTTCAAGCATTTATTTATTTTTTATATTTTAAAATATTGCAAAAACTGAAAAACATAAAACAAAATAAATTGGGCGGAAGAAATAACCGATCAATAAAGGACAACGTTATATTAACCTACACATTTTTATCGAATATTTTACCTACGCTCACAATAGGAGAACGGGTCCCACAAGCTGAAATTTTTAAATGCACACAGGGCCCGCGCGCATGTGAAAGTAGGATACCAATTCGATAACTCATTCTCGGTACATATATATTTATCCATCAATATAAGGGGAAATAAAGGATAATGCTACGTGTACATAATCGTTTATATATAGTTTTACACTCTTTTCACATGAAAGGGATCCACGAATAATAAAATATGTGTGAGTCCCCCTCATGTAAGCTTTGTATACATCTCACACATAGCATTATTCGGGAAAAAACTACTTAAAAGTTGAAAATAGTACATTACTTGTTAGATAATATACTCATGTTTGAGAGCTCAATTTTAGTGGGCAAATCCAAAATGAATTAAAGGATGTTCTCAATTGAGATTATGATAGATTTTAAATTTAATTTTAATTTTTTAATTTTAAAATTAGGTGTCATCAGTTGATTTCTTTTAATGGATTTTAATGAAATCCATTAAAATCTAGGTGTTCTCAATTAAGATTTTAATGAAATTTAATGAAATTTTTTAAAATTTAGATATCCCCAATAACTAGTAAATTTATAAAGATTTCATTAATATAGAGATTTTAAAAGATTTGGATGGATTTCAAGTTTAAAATACATATAACCAAATCTTTTAAAATTTTGCCATATTTGAAAAGATTTTTATGGAATGTGTGGAAATCTATTCAAATTTACGAATTCATTAGGATTTATAATATTTTAAAATCCTAGTTGAAGACACCCTCATAATAATTTACTCTTCAAACTTTTGCTTTCATACTAAAACAAAAGTAGAATCTAATTTTATCAAAAATTGTATTTGTTGAGTCGGGGTTGGGACATGGCCAAACTTGAAATCTAGACTTGGATGATCACGAATTGTGCTCCTTGACACTTGAAACCTTGTATTATCAAGTTGCTAGGTAAACATATTAGGCTTATAGTCAATGTTGAATGTGCACAAATGTTATATAAGATCTGTAAAAGTTATATTTGAATATGTGTGAATGTTAATTAAGTTAGAATTAATATCAGGAAATATATAAGTAACAATGAATGTTAAATCATTTATTTAATTTCTAATTAAGTAAAACTAGATGTTAATTAGCATAAATGAGGGTGAATAATGAAATGCATTTTTGAATGTGAATGTTCATTAATTAACAATTAATAATTGGTGATTCGTACATTACTACATTGGTGAAATGAATATGTCAGATGTACATATATATTGATGGTAATTAAATAAATTAAATATATATTGAAAAACAAAAAGTAAGGTATTATCGAAATAATTGAATTATTGTAAAGCTAGAATTGTCCAAAAAATTGATTTTCACTTGATAGGGTATTTAATATATACCAAAACTTGCATTTGGTGAGTTGAGGTTAGGTTGTGATGAAGATTGAGAACTTGGGATGATCATGAACTATGCTTCTTGACATTTGAAACCATTTATTATCGAGATGCTGATTAAACATATTTGTCTTACTTGTCAATGTTGAACGTGCAACTTATGAAATGTTTAATAAATATAGTAAAAGTAATATTTGAATACGTGTTAATTTTAATTAAGTTAGAATTAATGTCAGGGAATATATATGTGGCAATGAATGTTAAATCATTTATTTAATTTCTAATAAAGTAAAATTGGATGTCAATTAGCATAAATGGGCGTGAATAACAAAATGCATTCTTGAATGTGAAATTCTATTTAACTTATAATCAGAATTAATAACATCGAAATAGATAAATTAAGATGAATATTAATTATATGAATGTGAATATTAATTAATTGAGAATTAATAATTGGTAATTCAAACATTAATGAAAGTACGCAGGTGAAATGAACCTGTCAAATGTACATGTACATTGATGGTAGTTAAATAATTAAATAAATTGAATACATATTGAAAGACGAAAAGTAATGTATTATTAAAATAATTGAATTATAGTTAGGCTGGAATCATCCAAAAAATTATTCTCATTTGATATGATATTTAACATATTATAAATGATGAAGACAAAACCTTTTATTTTATCATTTTAATTCAAAGACCATTTCTTTAGTTGATTTGTATTGTATGTTTATTAATTATTTGAATGCTTGAATCACCATTTAGATAATATATTGCATATTTTGTTCTTGAGAGGTTCGAAATAGGTCGTGAACATTGCAATCATCAATAGCAGGCTCGATAAATGTTTGGAAGTTTATAACTTATGCAATCAAATAGGTAATCATGCAATTGTATGCATTCGTCGTGCTTAGGAATATATTTGGGCTCACTTCGGGAGAGGCAATTAATAAAATTGAATTACACATTGTCAATTACACATAAATCACACAAGAAAACATAGGTCGAGAATTTGAACGGGAGAATAATAGGTGAATTCAAAATCTTAACACTCTTCTCATACATAGTTTTAACGTGCAATTAGATATTCAATAAAAATAAAAATAAAAAATTAGTAGTTAGCATAAACCAACATTAAAAAAAATTGTTTATTTTGGATACATTCGAATGAGACATCGAATTAATTGGATGCAACCTAGAATTTATCGCTATTGAGACAATAATCATACTCAAACTATTATTTGTCAATAATTTAGTACACTTGTGAAATTTTATAGAACAATATTATATATTAAAATAATATCATTTAGTACCAGTGGTGTTAGTATGTAAGTATAGGTGGCCACAATTGATAGATTTAATTAAATAAATCATGTGGCATATCATTTGTTATCATACATTTGTCACTTAAACTGGTGTTGGCATCAATCATACTAAATAGCATTATTCAATATGATAAGAATATCTCCAAGAGACTGTTTAAACATAAGATGCTCAGTGCTCTCAAGTTTAATGGTCAACTCTTAAAATTATGCTCCAAAAAACTTGTTAAATTAACATTTTAATATAAAGAGTGTGATTGACTCTCTAAATTTGAAGAGCAAGACCTACTCTCTATAATTAAATACATTCAAAATATTTCAATTTTTAACGAAGGAAATTAATATAATAATTTGAAAGAAAAGTAGTGAAAATGAAATATAGGAAAAAATAATAATATTTTTCTAGAGTAGTAAAATTAAATGTCAAATATAAAGTGCCAGTTAGATTACATAAAAAGTTTTACTCTATAAATTTATAGATATTCTTTAAGTGATAAAATATGCTAGTTAAAAATAAAGAGACATTAATAAAATAATTCTAACACTCATACATTTAATTGACTTTATGATTTGATGTATCAATTTATAATGCTAATTAAACGATGGGGAAAATAGAATTAATGCCATTTTCCATATCATCACCCATCTTCTTCTGTAAAATTGTTCAACTTAGAGTGTCATTTAATCATCGGAGTTAACAATGGAGAGAGAGTTCTTCAAAGCCATCATGTTGGTCTTTCTTCTCTTCGTTTCTCGTAAGCTCTCTCTCTTTGTATCACGATCACGATCCCAATTTTAATTTTTTATTTTGTCTTTTATCTTGGATTGAAAATGACTTTGCATAATTAAGAAAAAGCGACACATGACAAAACTCATGAGTTATTATGCGCTCTCGAATCTAGTCAAATACACGAAGCATGTATCTATATCTTGTTCATAATTCAATTCAATACGACAAAAAGTTGATTTTTTTTTTTTTGGTCTTCCATCTGCTTACCAATTTTTCTAAATTCTTTCTATTGTTGGATTGATTGGTGAATCCCAGTAGATATGATCGTGTATAGTGAAGCAAGGCTTTGCTCTTCACCAAGTGGATCATTTAAAGGAGTATGCTTTCTCGAGAGCTCGTGTATTAAAGCTTGCTGGAAAGAAGGTCATGACGATGGTAAATGCATTGGGTTTTTCAACTCTAAATGCATATGCTATACGTGTTGTTAAACCGATCAGCCTCTCCCCAACAAAGATTGTCCAAATGCTATGCGAGAAAATTACGAGATGATATATAGATAAAGAATAAGTACTGATTGTGGTCTATCCATCCTTACAAATTACATTATGATTTATTGGTATTTGATCATTCTAAATGCAAAATTATGAACATACTTGCTCATGTTGTTTTCATAAGTTTACACAAAATTTTGCTCTTATGTTCTAGGATAACCTTGAAGCCATGGGCTTGACATGAAAGGTGAGGATATGGATTAAAAAGAAGAATAACACGATGCATAATTCATTGACCATTTAGATTCATTTTTTAGTTCACTTATAAAGTAGCAATTCTTGACAAAGTTCACTGACCATTGAAATGATACATTTTTAAGTTTAATTATGAAGCAACAACTCTTGACAAAGTTCAGTGTATTTTCTCATGTTTAATTGTCCATTAGTAAAAGTTATTTACCAATTTAGAAGTTACTTTAGGATCACAAAGTGGTTTTCTCCCATCGAATTGGCATTATAACATCTTGAATTAATAGACCACTTAAAATAATTATTTTCGAATTATAATTAGAAAAAAATAAAATTGCAAGCTTTCCCTCCTTTGAAACCGAAAAGACAGAAAAATGAAAAGCAATAAAATCAGACTTCATCATCACCAAATTATGGAAGTGAGTCAAAAGATTGATCATGATCATGATCATGTAAACTTCATATAATAATCAAGACTAAACCATGACCTAAGCAAACACACAACCAACACGCATCTGCATTGTATAACTCAAATATTGTAAGCAATACTGTCCAAAAATCAAAAGAATGATAGATCTTATCTTTACTTGGTCATTTCCAATTCACATTTAATTTTACCTAAAGAAACTTCTCAATCATCAATGGTGGCTATCAATTATTTTGATTGACATATCATCAGCGCAGGTTAAAAC